AAGGAAGCTTGACAAAGTGAGGGAACAGAGGGACGGATGCTTATGCGGTCCGAACCGCAGCTTTATTATGCTAGAATTTTGTTGAGGGATTGGAGAGTGATAGTTTGCTGTAAACTTTATATAGACATGATATACTTGGTTATGGAATTTATGCCAGTTGCTTTAATGTGCTGATGAATATGAGTTAGGATCTTGACCTAGTATCTGAGTTTTCATAGCATAATTCCATTTTGTTTAGTTTGTGTTGGTTGTCTCCTTGTCGGCCCATGCTCAAACATTAATTTAGTAATTGAGAGTGATAGTTTGCTGTAAACGTTATATATATATATATACATGGGATACTTGATTATGGAATTTATGCTAGTTGCTTTGGTGAACTGTTGAATATGAGTTATGATCTTGAACTAGTAGCTGAGCGTGACAACTAGAATGAGAGAGGCCATTTTCCCATAAATATGATGTTCTGTTTAATTATGGATTGACGTTTTGCAATGCTCTCCAAGATTTTGGTAGATAAGCCAATGGTGACAGTGTTGTTGTTGAAACTTGTGTGATTCAGGATGACTCTGAAACCGTAGCAATGATCAAGGAACTCTTAGAAACACGCATCAGACCAGCAGTCCAAGATGATGGTGGGGACATTGAGTATTGTGGGTTTGATCCGTAAGTTTACTTCCTTAAGCTGTAGCAATGGTCAATGAAACCTGTTTCTTCTTTTAGAAACTTAAGTCTCAAGTAGAAAAATCCTTTGGGTGGGTTTAATCAGGGAAAGCGGTATAGTGAAGCTGAGGATGCAAGGAGCTTGTAGTGGTTGTCCGAGCTCATCGGTTACTTTGAAATCGGGAATCGAAAACATGCTAATGCATTATGTATCCGAGGTAACAGAGATCCTCCTAACATTATGTGTTAAAAGTTGTGGTGTTAACTGTTAAGTAACCAACCATTGGAGAATCAAGAACTTGTTACTGCCGCTTCTTCTAATGAAAGGGTTTTCGTGCAGGTGAAAGGTGTAGAACAAGAGTTCGATGGGGAAGATGAAGAGGGAACATTGTCTGGAGAGGTGAGAGTAGAGTAAGAGACCTCCTCTAGCTAATCCTCTTTGCTCTTTAGTGTACAGAAGAATAAATCCCAGTGAGTGCACTTTTTTCTTCAACCCTTGGTGTTGTTTCTGGGCTTTTGAATCACACTCAAGAATCTATCTACTGAGAGATGAGGGTTGATTTGTTTTGTAACTTTTGTTAACCTACACTTGTTTTGATTATTTGAGGTTAACCAAAGAAAGATGTACCAAAATATTTGAAATTTCCAGAGTATTATAACGATTTTACAATAAAAATTTTACAATAAAACAGTAGTAAAAGTTGTTAGTTTTGACTTTTGACTCAAATTTTTAGTATAATTTTGTTCTTGCTTAGCTAAAGAGGAAGGAAAGAGCTCGCGTTTACGTTGTACAGATATCAATCACCTAACCGGTCAATTCAATTAAACTGAACCAGTCTTAACCATACTTAATTTACGGTTTGGCTGGCTTATCTACAAATAGGAAGTGTTAAGAAAGAAGAGCAAAACCGTTAGTCGTCTTCTCCATTCTCCAAGAGGAGGAATATACAGAGAAGAAAGTCAAGAAACCCCAACATTCGCCGGCTATGGCGGCGGCGAAGAAACCGACTCTACAAGACGTTGTTTCCGATGACCTTAACTATGAACTCTGGGCTCCAACCGTGAAAACTACTCTAACTGAAAAAGGACTTTGGGATGTTGTTGAAAATCTAATCCCGGCGGATCTGTCGAAGAGTCCAGAGCTAGCGACGGAGGAGACTCCACCGGAAGATCTTCCGAAATGGAGAGACTTTATGGGAAAAGACATAGAAGCGCTTCAGATTTTGCAATCTTGTCTCCCAGATTCGGTTTTGAGATTGACACTTGAGACCACTTCAGCCAAAGATCTTTGGGATTTGCTTAAAGAAGCTAACGAACAAGCCAAGTTAGAGAAGAAAATCGAACAAGATAAGATCAAAGAAGGAGAACGTATCTCATCATTGTTGATGGAGTTTGCTAATGACAGTTCAAAATCCAATTATCTGGCCATCGCCAAAATGGTAATCTCGCTGTCAGATTCATATGAGAATGAAACGGACGAACTCATACTCAAGGGTCTAAAGAAGCTAACTTTTAACCGATTTCGTTGGCTTCTTGATGGATTTGAATCATCGACAGTGAATCACACCTTGTACGAAATTTTGAAAAAAAATGGGTATGGATCATCACCACTCGATTTGGAAAGTTTTATCAAATGGTTAATCTCGATGTCAGATTCATATGATGGTGCTGCTCTGGTGATGGAGGAACTAATGTGTATGAAGAATCTCACTTATAACAATTCTCGTGAGCTTTTTGATTTGTTTGAATTAGTACCATTGAAGACCATCAGTGATATTATGAATGACTTTGAGGTTGGATCATCATCACATACGAAAGAAGTTTGTTATTCAGCCAATGATGTTAGGAATTTCCTGAAAGAAGTCAAGTTAGAGAAGAAAGAAGGAGATTGTTCTGTTTCCATGGATTCGAAAAGTGTCATGAGATCTAGGCATGAAAGAGGAGAGTGTATTCATTGTGGAGGTAAAGGGCATGTCTTCAAAGACTGCAGCAACAAAAAGAATCAAAGCAGGAATGTTGGTCCTGTGACATTTGATGAGGATATGTGGATGCTATACACCAATACCACTAACCATATGACTCCATATATCAAGTATTTCAGCACTTTAGACAGATCACGCAGAGCTCGAATACAATCAATCGTGTCTCAAGGAATGGGAGATGTCAGGATCATGACCAAGGAAGGGAAGACTAAGATGATCAAGAATGTGCTTTATGTTCCGGGGATGGACAGAAACGTGTTGAGTGTTCACCAGTTGGCAGAATTAGGCTACAGTATCAGAATGATCGATGACAGATGCACTATAAAAGATCAGAATGGGAGATTATTTGGTCAATCCTTTTTGGAAAAGAGAGGTTTTTTTCTGCGTTTGCAGGTAGTTGAAGGTAATCTCACCTCTTAGTTGCTAGACTTAGTAGTAATCTGGCTACTATGCAGATTTAGTTAGGTTGATTCAGTTTTCAAGTTTGGACAATAATGTGGCATCAATCTTAGTTTAGACTTTAGATGAAATATTTTGGATATATGCTGCGACTGTTTTTGGGATATGAACATATATCTAGTGCTTATGTTAAGTCTTTGTAGTAAATCATTTTGGCGTGGACCGTGGTCAGTAGTCAAAACCATCAACCATTCTTGTTGACTAGCGTTGGATAACCCAATTAAAATGAACCGGATTAACCCAATGAAAATGAACCAATCTCAACAAATTGGATTCTCCATAGTATAGCTCATCCCAGTTATATCCAAACCGATTCCTAAACACCGTATCAACCAATTTAAGAGTGTATTTAAATTTAATCATAAGAATTTAATACTTTAATTGTATATTTTGAATGCAATTATACTATTAATTTACACGATTCAGGAGTGACTATGATTGTTCCAATTTAACCGGTCAATCCAATAAAACTGAATTAGATTTAACCATATTAAATTTCCGGTTCACATTGGCTTTAAGGGTTTATATAAAAAGAAAGTGTCGGAGTAAAAGGAACAAAACCGTTCGTCTTCTCCAAGAGGAATAAACAGAGAAGAAAGTCACGAAACCCTAACAATCGGCGGCTATGGCGGCGACGAAGACACTGACTCTACAAGACGTAGTTTCCGATGACCTTAACTATGAACGATGGGCTCCAATCGTGAAAACTAATCTAACTGAAAAAGGACTTTGGGATGTTGTCGAGAACGGAGTCCCGCCGAATCCATCGAAGATTCCAGATCTAGCGACGAAGATTCAACCCGAAGATCTTTCTAAATGGAGAGATTTTGTTGCAAAAGACACAAAAGCGCTTCAGATTTTGCAGACTTATCTCCCAGAATCGGTTTTCAGATTGACACTCGAGACTGCTTCAGCGAAAGATCTTTGGGATTTGCTGAAATCAGCTAACGAACAAGCCAAGTTAGAGAAGAAACTCGAACAAGTTAAGATAGAAGAAGGAAAACGTATCTCCTCATTGTTCAGTGCAAAATCCAGTTATCTGTTTATCACTAAACTGATAATCTCGATGTCAGATTCATATGATGGTGCAGTGGAGGAACTCATGGGTCTACAGAATCTGACTTTTAACTGTTTTCGTCGGCTTCTTGATGAAATTGAATCATCAACAGTTGATGAGACGTTGTATGAATTTGTGAAAGGAATGGAGTTTGAATCATCATACAGTTCTAAATGTTTTATCGCAATGTTAGCCTCCATGTCAGATTCATGTGATGATGGTGCAGCTCTGGTGATGGAGGATATCATCGGTGTGAAGAATCTCACTTTTAACAGTTTTCGTGAGCTTCTTGATGTATTTGAATCAGTACCAATGGAGACCATCGATGGAATTATGGAAGGATCTGAGGTTGGATCATCACTACAATCGAAAGAAGTTTGTGTTTCAGCCAAAGTTCTTAAGGATTTGCTAAAAGAAGCTAACGAACAAGCCAAGTTAGACAAGGAATTCAAACAAGTTAGGATGTTTGAAGGAGAACGTATCTCATCATCACAATCTAAAGAAGCGGATTCGAAAAGGGTCATGAGATCTAGGCATGAAAGAGGAGAGTGTATTCAATGTGGACGTAAAGGGCATGTCTTCAAAGACTGTAGCAGCAGAAATAATCAAAGCAGGGATGAAGAAGCATTACCTGAGTATCAAATGCTAGCTTTCAATGTTGGTCCCGTGACATTTGATAAGGATATGTGGATGATATACACCACTACCTCCAACCATATGACTCCGTATGAGAAGTATTTCACCACTTTAGACAGAACACACAGAGGTAGGATCAAATTCATCTTCGGACATTCTATCATGTCTGAAGGAATGGGAGATATCAGGATCATGACCAAGGAAGGGAAGATGAAGACGATCAAGAATGTGCTTTTTGTTCCCAAGATTGACAGAAACGTGTTGAGTGTTGGTCAGATGGCACAGGCAGGCTATGGAATTGTAACGACTGCTCACAAATGCACTATAAAGGATCAGAGTGGGAGACTATTTGGTGAGTCCATGTGGGAAGAGAGAGGCTTTTTTCTGCGTTTGGAGGTGGTTAAAGGTAACCTCTAATTGCTAGACTAACTAGTAATTGGTCTACTATGTGGATTTGGTTCGGTTTCTTCGGTTTTTAGTTTGGATCATCAGGCATTAATCTAGTTTTCAGGAAAATATTTTGGATTACTCTATGCTCTGCTACTGTTTTTCCGGATATGAACTCACCTCTTCATTACTAGACTTACTAGTAATCAGTTTATTTTGCGGATTTGGTCTGGTTTATTCAGTTTTCAGTTTGGACCATTGGATTACTCTATCCTCTGCTTTTGTTTTTACGATATGAACATATTAGTATTGCTTATGTTCATGAGTCATGACTGTGTAGTAAGTCAAATTCAAAAACTCAATGACTGCTTCAATCATCGTTCAAATGCATTGCATCATCTTGGTGTGGTTAGCTCTGATCACAATTCACAAGTCCAAACCATCAACTATTCTTGTTTGTTTGACCCATGACCCATCTGTGGAGAGAAAGCTTGCGTGTGGCTTACGGTTATTTACTTAACCGGATCAATGCATTTAAATTGAACGACATGTACGTTATTATCGGCCGTCCTTAAAAGGATATTAAAAGTTGGGCCTATGGGCTTATTGCAAGCGCATTCAATAACTAATGCGTTAAATCTGTTGGGCATATTGAAAGCCCAGTCAATAACTAATACGAGCACTACTAGCATCGTATCATCTTCTTCGTTAAGACTTAGGGTTTTGCTTCTCAGCCGCCGTTTTATTTTAAGAACAAACTACGTTTTTGGAAAGTTTTTTTACAATTAAAAATAGTTTATTCGCTTTGTCGGAGATATAAAAATGATAATGAAAGGGGATTGGTCGGCGGCGAGAAGACCGAATCTACAAGACATCATTTCCGATGACCTAAACATTGAAGTCTGGTCGGCGATGATGAAAACCACGCTAACGGAGAAAGGACTTTGGGATGTGGTTGCGAATGAAATCCCGCCAGATCCATCGAAGATTCCAGAGTTGGCTGCGAAGATTCAAGCCGAAGAGCTTTGCAATTGGAGAGAACTTGCGAGAGAAGACATGAAAGCACTCCAAATATTGCAGTCTTCCCTCACAGATTCTGTTTTTAGAATGACTCTCTCTGCTGCTTCGGCTAAGGATCTTTGGGATATGCTAAACGAAGTACCTGATCATGTAGTTGAATGTTTTGTTGATGATAATAGCCCAGTTTATGAGAATGTCTGGAAGATAAGCTCCACTAACTCGAATCATATAACTTCATATGAGAAGTTTTTCACTACTTTAGACAGATCGCGGAAAGCTATGGTTAGATTCACAAATGGAGATACTACCATGGCAGAAGGCATTGGAGATGTGACTATCATGACTCAAGAAGGTAAGAAGACGATCAAGAATGTGCTTTACGTTCCAGGGGTCGTGGGAAATGCATTGAGTGTTTCCCAGATGCTGAGGAGCGGCTTTGAAGTTAGAATGGATAGAGAAAGATGCACTATATGGGATCGGAGGGCTGGGAATTATTTTGGTGAAACCATGTTGGGAGAGAGAGGCTTTTGCCTGCGTTTGGATGTGATTGAAGGTCATTTTCAAAGCAAGAAGAGAAAATTTACTTAAGATGTGATTTTAGAGGCAGGACAATAGACTGTTTTACATGACCATGTAGTTCAAAGCAAGAGAGAGGCTTTTGCCTGCGTTATGTTCTTGGAAAGTTTCTCACTAAGTTAGTAGGGTGCCTTGTTGATTTAGTATGATTCCATCTGTCGAGTTTAGTTAGCTTCTATCATAGTCTCTTATGGGTTGTTCTCTCCTTTCATTTTATCCTTTGCCTCATAGTTTACTACTATGCTTCCTTTTTATATGGCTTTTAGACTCCGGGTTAATCTTGTCTTCGGCCGTCTTATGTTTGTAATCATCACAATCTAAAGACGCGGATTAGAAAAGGGTCTTGTGATCTAGTGTATTCAATGTGGAGGTAAAGTTTTGTTGATTTCAAAATTCAAACTATAATGGAATTTAGGGTTTGTAATGATACAACTAAGAATATAAATAATCGCTTCTCCAAGATAATCCTACCTTAGTATTACGAGGAGATGGTGGTTATGTATGTGGAGAGACCACCGACTCTACAAGAGGTCATTTCCGATGACCTGAACATTGAAGTCTGGTCGGCGAAGATGAAAACCACTCTCACAGAGAAAGGACTTTGGGATGTTGTCGCGAACAGAGTCCCGCCGGATCCATCGAAGATTCTGTTTTCAGAGAGGCTCTCTCAGCTGCTTCGGCTAAGGATCTTTGGGATATGTTAAACCAAGTACCTGATCATATGACTCCACATGAGAGGTTTTTCACCTCTTTAGATAGAACAAAGACAGCTAAGGTTAAATTCACATCTAGGGATAAGACCATCATGGCAGAAGGAATTGGAGATGTGACTTTCATTACTAAGGAAGGTAATCAGACGATCAAGAATGTGCTTTATGTTCCAGGGATCGAGGGAAACGCGTTAAGTGTTTCTCAGATGGAGAAGAGCGGATTTGGAGTTGCTTTTGATGAAAAAAGATGCACTATATGGAATGGAGAAGACTGGCAAGCGTTTTGGTAAAACCATGTGGGAAAACAGAGGCTATTGCTTGCGTTGGAATGTTGTGATTGAAGGTAATTCTCAAAGCAAGAAGAGAAAATTTACACATTATGATTTTTCATCTTAGAGCCATGCAGAAACAGATGGATGGATTTGGTTCGGTTTAATTGGTTTTCATTTTGTTTCTTTGTTATAAGAAAGCTAAATAATTGAACAAAGCATTTTGTTTTCTTTGTTCTAAGAAAGCTAAATAATTGAATAAAAGTTAAGTTAAATGATTAGTGCAGCCGTTTTTGTTTATTTGTGATTAAACTTTTATTTATTCGAGGATGCATTTAACTATGGGAAAGGCAAAAAGGCTCAGCCGTATTAGCTAACCGGATTAGCTAAATTTGATCACCCTTGAAAATACGAACCAGATCCGATTCAAGAACTCCCTAGTAATTTTAACACGCTCGAACCGAGCAATTTGGATAAAAAATTTCTCCGATTGCCTTAAACCAAACCAAAGATAGGACCTAAACCGAGTCTAAAATCAAATGGTCTACCCCTAAACCGATCATATGGTGATTTTCAAATTGATTTAGGGTTTACGGTTAGGCTTAATAATGTTGACTATATATATAGAAACTGTTCTAGCGATCGAATAAACTATTCACACATTCTCCGAGAGAATATAGAGAAAAGGAAGTTTAAAGAATCTCTGACGGTTACGGCTATGGCGGCGACGAATAAACAACAAGACGCTTTTTCCGATGACTTTGACTATGAAATCTGGTCTTCGGTTACGAAAACTATACTAAAGGAGAAAGAACTCTGGGATGTTGTCGAGAACGGAGTCCGGCCAGATCCATCAAAGATCCCAGAGTTAGCGGCGAAGATTCAATCCGACGAACTATCAAAATGGAGAGATCTCGCCGTGAAAGACATGAAAGCGCTTCAGATCTTGCAATCTTCTCTCCCAGATTCTGCTTTCAGAAAGACTCTCTCTGCTTCTTCATCCAAAGAAGTTTGGGACTTGCTTGAAAAAGGTAACGAACAAGCAACGATACGTAGATTAGAGAAGCAATTTGAAGAACTCAAAAGGAATGAAAAAGAATCTACCGATTCATACATAGATAGGATTATGGAAATCGTTGGTGAGTTACGTGTTTTGAAAGTTGAGAAATCTGAGTACGAGATTTGTAAGAAGGTGTTTGCTTCGCTCTTAGAGTCATACGATGAGATACAATCAATGTTGGAGGAAATCATGAATGTTCATAAGATGACTGCTGCGAGTCTTTGTCAGTATTTCTTCCTTAATGGATATGATTTTGAATCAGTTAATGAGCAAGTTTTCCTTGGACTGTTGAAGAATTTGAGGCTTAAATCAAAGTCTAAGAAGTGGTGTGACTTGTGCTACAAGGTTAGTCACAACTTTGAAGACTGCAAAAGAAGGAATCCGATATATGTGGAAGAAGAAGAAGAAGAAGAAGAAATTGTAGTTAATTATGTACTGTCGACGGATGTAACTTTAGGGGAAAAATCATATGATGAGGATATTTGGATGGTATACGGGCTTGCTACGATTCACATGACTCCATATGCGAAGTATTTCACCACTCTAGACAGGACACACAAAGCTAAGGTTGGATTGGCTGATGGAAAAGTTCTTATGGTTGAAGGAAAAGGAGATGTTAAGATCAAGATGAAGGGAGGGAAGAAGAAGACTATCAAGAATGTGATTTTTGTTCCCGGCCTCAACAGAAACGTGTTAAGTCTTAGTCAGATGACGTCGAGAGGCTATTCATTCACAGAGGGACGTGGAGGCGAATGCATTATCCGCGATCGGACTAAGGATGAATTTGGGGAAACTTTGTGGATGTGGGAAGAGAAAGGATTGGCTTTGCGTTTGAAGGTGATTGAAGGTAATCTCACCTCTTAATGAGCTCTGTCTTCAACTTTGGTAGAAGACTTTAACACGTAAGATGGGACGCTTATGTCTCTATGTGGTTTTTTAGTTTCGTTTTATTATGTTTTCAGTTTGTTCTTCTAGTAGTTCATATTCTGCAACTGCAGTATGAATTAGTCGTGTGCTCTTTTAACCTAGGACGGCTTGTTACGTATTAATCTAGTTTTCAATTACTATTTTGTTCTTCACTATGCAATGCCTTTGTCAAAGTTTTGTTCATGGTGAAAAGGAACAGAAATGTTAGACAAACATCTTAAAATCAATGTGTCGAATGATTAGTAGTTTAATACAGTCGATTTAGGGATTATATTTGTGGCAGGTAAAATCGTCAAACACTAGATAAAAGAGCTAACATGTTGGATAAATGAATAATCTAAACCGAGACATTCAAATTAACCCCATGCATCCCAAATCTATACTATTAATTGGGAATCAGTCAAAATTAAATAACTTTATAAAGTATAAAATATTACATAAATTGCCATTAGGATAATTACAATCAAAGACTAAAAGAAAAAACACGTGCAAGGTTAAAATTATAATTTGAAAGCAAAATACCCATGGATCATGGGCAACTGGATCGGTTATTTACGCGGATTCTGAGCTTATTTTCGGATTGACACGCATATCATATAATCGACCCGGACGGTTGGAAACTGTCCAATTTTTTTTGAACAAAATTACCATATAACAAAAGTAAAGATATTAGCAAAAAAATCGTATCCCTACAATTTCGTTTAATAATTAAGGTGCTAACAAATTTTGTTCGTATTCACTTACCAAAAAATCCAAATTCAATAAAAAGAGTATATTCTTGGTTTGTAACATTTTGGAGAGTATTATCCTTTGCGAATAATATTGAACTAAAAATCTCAATCTTTGCAAATCTTACTAATTCTTAACCAAAACTCTATATATGAATCTTAAAATATATAAAAACAAAAAAATCTAATGTATTGCCTAAAACGTCGTTAACCACCAAAATTGCTAAGTTGTGTGTAACCACCAAAACTCCTTATAAATAGGTACTACTCTTATCATCCTTGATCCTTAGGTATATTAAACCTAAGTATTTATTGTTAGTATCTATCTTTTTTCTCATGGCAACTTTTATGAATGTTTATGACTTACACAATACTCTGTTTTTTGTGTGTGAAACAATAGAAATGGTACTGATTATTTGTTTTGCTTTCGTTTCTTGATATATGAAATTTCACTTTTTATGATTCGTGAGTATACTAAACATTTGATGTGTTGTGCAGATAGTCCTAAACAAGACAAGTAAACCAACTGTAAGTCTCTAAACATTTAGTATAGATGAGCAACTGTTAGATTTTTCATTCATTTCTTGAAGATCAACAAGTTTTCTAATCTGCACTTCATCAATTTATATCATAGGTTACCAAAAGACGATCTTGCTCTAACATGTTCTTGAAAATAAGCTAGAAGAAGAAAAAGTGGAGCTAAAAGAAGACTGCTTTCTTCTGCTTCCACAAAAGGAGACCATCATTGAGATATATCAATCTAATTAAGTTTCTTACAAACTCTAAAGTGCTAAACTAAATCGTGGAAAATGATTAAAAGTTGTTTATATTCCTAAAAATAATATTTAATCATTTTAGTTTATATTCCTAAACTAAATCGTGGAAAATGACTTATTTAAACCTTGAGTGATAAAGGCTGTGAATAAGGTAAATCACTCTTTGCTTTGGAATAAGTCATAGTGTAATAACTCTGGTCTATGGTTGGCCTAATTTCAGGTTAGGAGTAATATAGTTCCAAATACAAGACTATAAATGGTTTGTTTCAGGAGTTGTTCAAACACTTTCATTCATCTATAACTTGGACGAGTGTATTCATATATGATGCACAGATGGGAAGTTTCTCTATCTTATCATTTTTGGTTTTAGTGAAAACAATTTCATACTCTATTTTTTATTTTGTTGGTTGTTTTACACAGTAGATCTTCAATTAAATAATCTGATCTAAAGCTTAACCAAATACTTAAATAGCAGCCTCAAATCTCCTCTCTTAAGTGAAGTGTTTTTGTTTGTTTTATTTATAGGTTTGATATAGTTAAGTGAAATGATTTTTAGTGATGAACGTTATTTATTGTGGAGTCACAACATATTTATATGTATTAATAGAAACTAAACTAACCTTTTGTTCCAAAAGGACCTTCTTGAAGTTAAGATCAAGCAACTTCTTTTTCTGTCACAAAAAAATGACAAAGTTTTGAGATGTGAGTTCAAAACCCAATGTAATGAGGTGTTTGAAATCATTAAAAACAAACCAAATGATAAGACTACTTCAACTCCACTATGATCCATCTTGCATAACGGGATCTAATCTAGCAGAGACATTAGAAAAAATCAATTAGAATCAGAATAAAATCTTTTCGAAGGCAACATTTATCTTTCACACTCTAGAAACAAGGATGCAATTAATCGGAAAGACCAAAGCTAAGGAAATCATCACCGCAGATGCATCGAACAAATATAAAATCGTATATCCGAGCTCTGAAGACACTAAATTTTAATCCGAATCATCAAATTCAACAGATTTTTGATACATAGGATTGAAGGAGAGCACCGCGAAACCCGGAGGCCCTAATTTCGGAATGAAAGGGGGAAGAAGAACATAAAGTAGCAAAGGTGTAGTTTTCAAGAGTTTACTATTTACAAATGAGCTTCAGATAGAACCGACTAAATCTTTTTTTTTGTCGTCTGAATTTTATTAATAGACCAAGAACGGATACAAGTTGAAATTACATATGCCGGCGGACAACAGAAATGTTCCGAGACTCATTAGCCCAAAAAAGAGAAAGCAAAGCCCCAAAGTACAGGGAAACTGATTATAACCAGGTAGAGAAACAAAATTCTAAAGAAGAACAAACGTCATGGAGAAAAGGTAAGCTAAACACTATAATTGAACAAAGACACGAGAGACTCCCACAAAGTTTTCCTATAGAACCTGTGAAACGCCAGAAGCACCAATAAGACCGGATAGAGCTCACACCGAAGAAAAACCAGTAGAAAACTGACAGGGAGGAAAGCAGAAAACCAACTCGACCAAAGACACAAATACAACTACCATCATACCTCACCAGCCAAACGAATGGAGCAAGAAACACTAGGAACAAGGTAGAACACCTTGAAAATCGACTGGAGAAAAGCCAACATAGTGATTTTGATGAATATATTTTCAGTAAATATAATTATTTGATGTGTTTCATTTGATGTAGGTAAATTTATGTTTGTAGAAGAATTGCTTTAATTTGATATAGATAAATTTATCAAGGTTTTTTAAGTAATTTATTTTCCAAGAAAATATTTATTTTAGGTACCATAATACATTATTTTAGGTACTACTATCCGGTTGGTCAAACCAATCTGACCATCGGATTGGTCCAAACTTTAAAATACTAATGAAACCATTATTAATTCTAATCACAAATTGGATTGAAACCAAACCGAATACCAAATTAGTATGAATATTGATTATACATTTTATACCAAAAAATATGTTTACAAAACCCGCACATACGTGCGGGTCCGAATCTAGTACTATAAATAAAAAACGCTACAAAATTATAACATCAATAATCTTTAGTATAAATTGTGTTTATTTTTGTAGATGGAAACATTTTTGGGATTGTTATTGATAGATTATAGTTTATACTCCTATAAGTCGATAACTAAAAAAGAACATTTCAAACTTGGCATGGAAAAGCGCAAAGGCAACTCTTTAAATTTACGTTTTGGAAACACGAGCCACCACTTCCCTTCCATTTTTGCTTACACATAGTGACACACATAGCATCATCGCAATCTGTTTTTTTTTATAAGATCATGACACATTTCTTGTCCTTGCGTCCAGGCCCGGTCCTTGGATATTTGGGGCCTCAAGCATATTTTAATAATATAATATTTTATTTAAAACTATTGTTAAAAATTTAAACAAAAACTGTAGAAGACAAGATTCGAACACAAGACTTGCCACTAACTTATTAACTACATAACCACTAGGCTAAATAAGTTTCTTTGTAATGTGGCCCTAAAACCTTTAATATATTTTGTGGCCTAAAGCAGATGCTTTGCCTGCTTTATGGGTGGGCCGGGCCTGCTTGCGTCTCTTTCGTATCCATCCCTAAAAAATATTTTAAATGTTCATCAATGTTAATTCATCTTCCTTTGTCTCTCTCTCTCTCAATGTTAATTCATCAATGTTAATTCATCTTCCCTTCAATGTAAATTTGTTATAATATGTTAAGAGAATCATAAAAATTAAAAGTAACGCAAACCTAGAACAAGGACAATCATGAAGATAGCAAGAATGGTGGCTTGGTAATTCATCTTTGATGATATATACAAACTGAAATGAAGATTTCAAAGTATAAGAAATGTATGTAATTGCAGGGTATATATATGTAAAAATCATATATATAAGCAATTAGATGCATACAAACAGTGAAAGGAGAATATCATTATACTAGAAAGAAATCAGTTAACAGTTGAATAGATTACTGTAAACGGGAAAATGATAAAATAATTAAGAAATATATATACAAATAAATTAAAAATGAAAACAAATAAACAACTCCATAAACTATATACCTAACTTCTCTTTTTACATTTGGTATATGTTGAATAATACAAAATACATTCTCAAAAATATAGATACTGTATGTAACAAAATCTGAAATTCATGCAATTTACATGTTTAAATTTATGATACACCGTGAGACGATTTATATTTAAAAAATTGTAACTTTTTAAATTTGATGATTGAACCTCACTCTAAATGATTGAAATTCTATGTATTTTACATCATTTATATTATATTATTTATGATAAGTATGTTTTAGGCTTTATTTGAATATATATATAAACATTCATTTCATTAAGTAATGGTGTATGGCGGGTGTAAATTTGAATATGTTATATTTGTCATTTTAAAAGAAAATTCTTTAAAGTCTATAGTTAATCATTTGTACTTTGTAGGTGGATAATAAGATGTTTGTTTACTATATAATTGCTGAATTAATCTATATTAAAAATCATAGTTGGTATAAAATGATATTTTGGACAAAGAAAATAAAATTAGTAAATGTTTCTATTTTTCTTTTTTGAAATTTCCTCAATGAATTATTTATATCTGTCATTATTTTTTTTTGTTCTGTATGTGTGTCCTTAAATGTAACAAAATAGAAAAGGAAAAGACAAACATTCATTAGACAAATTACATGACTACTACGTACTAACTTGTGTTATAGCACGATTTTTTTTTTAAAGTACTGGTAATTAATTAATAAAAGATTACAGTAAAACCTCTATAAATTAATAATGTTGGGACCATGATATTTTATTAATTTATAGTGATATTAATTTATCTATAAATTAATAATTATTAATTTATAGCATAATTTAATATTTATTAATTTATAGAAAGTTTTGTTTAAATTGTGAAAACTTTTTTTAAAAAATACGAGCTAAAGCAACGTGATCTAAATAATATTAATGTTTTGAATGTTATAAATTTTATAGTTTGACTTAAGTTTCTTTTGACAATAACAGATTATAGAATTCACATATATAAACGATATACATAAATTAAAATCCACAAATAGTGACATCTATTGTTGTATTTCAAAAACCTATACAACTATTAAAACAAAAATTATGCATATTCAAATTTGAAAACTTACAAAAACTTTTGGCTATTTTTATGAAAAACACTAAAACAATTATATATATATGTGCAAATTTACATGATTATTAATTTATGATATTATTGGGACTATATTTTTACATAGGGATTTCAAAAAACTTATTATCTTATTATCTTATCGAATTTGGTTAATTTTTACACTGGCCCGACTCGGGACTGGCAAAATTTATTAATTTATCGTGTTTATTAATTTATCGAGTATTAATTTATAGAGGTTCTACTGTACTATGAAGGTATCATATTTGACATACAATTTGTATTTTTCTTTTTTATTTTTAAAATTGAAATTTGGTTGGCTAATTTTGATATATCCGTGCTAGGTAATCATCGTCGGTGCACCAAGGGTGAAGATGAGCACAACTCCCGTACCCGTTTCCAAATCTTGGTTTTAGAGGCACGTGATCATGTTGTTGTCACTGAATATCAAAAGTAATACACATTGTTAAAACAAATAGAAAAGAATAGAAGTTCAAAATAAATTAATTCTAAAAATTGGAAAATGATTACGTTTAATTTCTTAATAGATATATATTTCCAAAGATTGTGTGTATTTATAGAGATTGTAAGATAAGTATTTACTGGAAATCTTTTAATGAATCTTCTTAAAGTTTTAGAAGATCCTTATAAAAAGATGGTTACCAAAGTAGAATAAATATCTTCAAGATTCTATAGATAGTGAAACATATTCAAGTTTTAGAAAATGTGAACTCAAAAGGAACACCATTTTTGTTTTGTCTCGAAAAGATGTGTTTTGCAGGAAATACGAACCCGTGCTCTACAATCTCTTTTTATATTTATATATTTTTAATTTGATAAGGATAAATCTATAAAAAGTCTCCTGCTAAATAAGAAATTGTATATTATGATTAGAAATTTTTGGTAAAGAATCCTAATGAGCATCCATTACACAACAACCATCGGTTCCTTTCTTAAAAACACAAAATATATTGTTTTCTTTTACGACTTGGTACTTTCTTTTATTCTTTTATTTAGATAGTTCGATTTTAATTATTTAGGTTTCAATTGTTTAAAATCTTTGTATAAGATAGTTTTCTGTTTTAATGTGTAGACATAACTATCAGATATACATTAAATGAGAAAATATGGGATTTTACTATTTAAACAGAACTGGATATCCAGAATATTTGCATTTCCATACTTACTTAAAACTAATACAACCTCTAATTATTAGAAATATCACCTCTTAATTAGCTCTGCCTTTTACTTTGGTAGTAGACTTTACTAGTAGGTGGACGAATATGTCTTTTATGTGGTGTTTTTTAGTTTGGTTACATTCTGTTTTCAGTTTGTTCGTTTAAACCATGTTCTGCTTACTGCAGTATGAATTAATCAGTGGTCTTTTAACCTAGGACGGCTTGGTTGGTACGTATTAATCTAGTTTTCAAGTATATATATTTTTTTGTTATTCACTATTCAATGCTTTTGTCAAATTTTGTTGATGATGAAAAGGAGACTGAAATGTTGAAATCAATGTGTCAAATGATGAGTAGTTTAGTGTAGTCGATTTGGGATTTTTATTTGTGGCGGATTAAATCGTTCAAACACTAAATAATTAAAGAGCTTTCGTGTTGGGTAAATGAATAATCTAACCGACACAAATCACATTAACCCATCCCAAATATTATAAAAACGCTACAAGATTATCACATCAATAATCTTTGTAGAGGGAAACATTTTGGGGATTGTTATTGATAGACTATAGTTTAAACTATAAGTCTATAACAAAAAATAAAAAAGAACATTTCATTCAAACTTGGCATGGAAAATTGCAAAGGCAACTCATTACATTGACGTTTTGGAAGCACGAGCCAACACCTCCCTTCCATTTTTGCTGACACATTGTGACACACGTAGCTTCGTCACAATCTCTTTTCATTATAAGATCATGACACGTTTCTTGTCCTTGCGTCTCTTTTGTTTCCATCCCTAAAAAGTATTTAAAATGTTAGTTTATTTGCCCTTTAATATAAATTTACTATAATATGTTAAGATCAGAATGGTAAAACTTAAAAGCAGAGCAAACCTAGAACAAGGACAATCATGAAGATAGCAAGAATGGTGGCTCGGAAAGTCATCTTTGATGATATATACAACTGAAAATGAAGATATCAAAGTAAAAAAGAGATGTATGTGATGGTAGTGTAAAGACCATATATATATAAGCGAGTAGATGAATAACCACAATAAATGAAGAAAATCGTTAATACTAGAAAGAAATCAGTTATCAATGGAAAATAGATACTGGAGATCGGGAAAATGATCTCATAATTAATTAAGAAAATATATTTACAAAATGATTAAAAACGGAAATAAATAACAACTCAACTCAATAAATATAGATACTGTTGTAATAAATTCTGAAATCTGTTACCAAAATAATTTGGGTTAGTGTCCGTTCTTGACCCATCTTGTTCTTTCGTTGTAATCGATATTTTGTGTATGTGGGTTCTCTTTCACCATGTAACTAGGTGATTGCCCGCGCGCATGCGCGGGAAGAATGCTGTATAAATGGTAAAATCATGTGAAATAAGGGATTGTTTAGGTGTTACTTGGTAGTGTAAGAAAAAAATGGTAAATTGTTTAGGATTTAGTGTGGTAAAATTATGGAAAATGATGAAATTTAAAAAATTCAATAATATTATAAATGCTAAAAAATAATAATAAATCATCTTTTAAAATCATTCACCAACAAAATAAGAAATCAACGAACATCATCACTCCATGGCATTCTCCTTCCGTGTGATGATTGGTACTTGGTCATTTTCAGGATTCCTGACATCCGATTAAGAACACCATAAACAGTGAATGTCCAGTCGCCAACTTTAGAGTTTTGATTGTAAACGGAAAAAAAAAATACTTACCAACAAAGCATCTCGTCGGTAATACTGAGATCCGGATTCAACATAATCCTCGTACTTCCGGTAACATTGGTACATCTCCACCTATGTTCCTGTGATAGTTCTAATTTCACAAACTTGATAATACATATCACTGTGTTACGTGAACGATGCTTCCATAAGTCATAGAACTCGACTGCAAGGTCACCCGTTAAACGACACTCTAGATGGATACACCTAATTTTAAGATTTGAAGAAGTCATATAAGACATTATATTCCTGGTTTAAATCTTTAAAAGAT